CAGGATCGCATGCGTGCGTGCTGCGCAAGCATGGCTCAAGTGCAGATCAATTTAGTTGTTATCAATTTTGGTGAGCTTTAACGTGGGCCGGCGTGTTACCGAAACCGACGACGACTGATTATATACATCGCGTAGCCAATTGTCAATCTATGTTAATCGTCTTGTTTTCGGTTGGTATCATGCGATTCATGTGGTATGCAAGGCTGTGGGTTATGCAATAAACAAGGCAAGAAAACAACGACAAACCAACAAAACGGAAAAAAAAAATTTAACGATAATTTATGTTGACCGGCCGACAGAGATCGGCATATGGGCAGTTGGCTTTTGAAGTGAGTTGTTGTTGCTCTTTTTTGTGCGGATAACAAACGATCGTGCGGTCAAAGGGAACAGCAGCAACAGCAACCGTAGACCATGCGAAAAACGGTGCATCAGGTAAAGAAACACAAGCAACAAAAAAGAGCAGGCAAAGATTAGAGAGCAAACGCTTGTGAAAAAAAAGAACGTTGGCCACGACAAGCGCTGGAATGAGAGAAAGAGCCGAGTGTGAGATTCAAATTTCTAGATTATGCATGCGTACAAAAGTTTCGTAGTATACAGTTTTTTTCTTCTTCTTTTCATTCTGCCTCTTTGCTTGCTTCATTCGCTTGTGATTCTTTATCTGTTTGTTTCGTTTGATTCTTTCGACGGCTCTGGCTTTGCGCAGAAAAGAAATAAATGCTCCCCTTATATTTCTTTCTCTCTGCACGGACACACACACACACACACACACTCGCGCCGAGAGTATATTGGCACCGGTTGAAATCTCGCGCGGCGATTTGTGTGTGCCAAAGCATTTATATCCCATGGTCGCAGCTCACCTATGATCGCGTACATATCGCATTAGTCGCAACTATAATTTGTATTTGTTTGCATAGTAAATCGTGGCATGTATTATCGCCGGAATATAATTGTTCGATTACACACGCCAAAAGCCAAAGAGAGAATTCGCTCTCTGTGCTCTCGGACCGATTGCATAGTCGGCACCGTAATCCATTCGTATTACCGAAGGAAAAAATAAAGAAAAAAAACATACGAGCCGCGTTTTCTGCTGCTTTTTCTTTTATTGCGACTGAGAGTTGTGAAGTTATTGCCATTTTTGCCCATTTTTATTCCATTTCAATTTGATTGTGCATTTTGCTGCGTTTGTTTTACATATTCGCCAAATCGATTGGCAATCCATTTGCTTGTAATATCGTTCAGACCGTTTCTCTCTCTCTCTCTCTCTCTCTCTCTCTCTCTCTCTCTCTCTCTCT